GGTCACTGTAAAAGAAGCCTACGAGTTATGGCGGCGATATGAAGCGGGGTCTTTGCCGGCGTGACGCATCATAACGGTCCTCAGGTCTCAGCGCCTAAGCCCATATGACCTATTTACGAAATTGATTTCAACCTGCTTCGGTTTGCGGAGGACCTCAAGGTAACGGCTTTACTGAGCAGCTCTGAGCGTTGACGCCATGCTCCAGGCCCTCGGACCAGTTGGTACGCCACTCTGTGCCACCAGTGTGTCCCTCCGCGGGCAATGAGGGGAGCCCCTCTGGGGGAGAACTACGGTTACCCTGTCAGCTTTGCCTTCAGTCGCGTTTGGACGGCTAAAAATAAATAAGACCCAGTGGACTCGAGCCTTCGAATGCATCCGCTTCATCCTGACGCTGAACGCCAGCTGAGCTCTCGACGCACGGGGCGGAAGGTGGAACGGTTCGACTGCCTGAAATTAATAATAAGGGCTCTTCACTGGAAGAAATATCAATGTAACGTCCCAAAAGCCGACGTTTCAGAAACGGCTGCTGCGCTGCATAATGTACAGACGCGCATCGCAGTATCAAAACAGGGGCTCGCACGTAACACTGAATTTTCATATTTAGCCTAAATAATTCAATAAAATTATGATTCAATAATCTGTTTATAAAAAGACTATGTGAATTTTATTCCATGGTGATGCATTCAGCAGCTATTATTTTTCAATTTAACACTGACAAAAGCTATTAAATACTTCATTTTATTTAATCAAACCTTAATTTAAAACAATTGTAGTTGGACTGAAAGCCCAATCAATTTTATCATTAAATTATTTATAAATGGCTTACCTCTGCCTTAACGTAACTTGGCTTAATTATGTTCCTCAGTATAACACCAACCAGGAATTAATGTATAGCATTAATTAATGCTAATATGCATTACATTCAATAGCTATTGTCAGAAGCGGTTGGAAGATATTTAGACTTTTTACAAAAGCTTGTACTTTTCTAAAATAATACGGTTGAAATGAGATGTGAATTTTCTCCCAAGCTTCCCTGGAGCGGCTGCCGTGTGCCTTTTGATTTGGATTATAAAAGTAAATAATATTTGTACATCTAACACGTACTCAAGGCAAATGAGCGGCCGCTGAATGTGTCTCTGTGAGCTGCTGAAGAGCCTCTACGCACTTTAAAGGGGAAGCCCAATTAAGCTCAGTCTGATCTGGAGCAGAAGAGAGACTGAAAGCTGAATACATAAGATAACGTAGGAAAGAAGCGTCTTTCTGAATAAAAAAAAAAATGGAGGGGAAAAAAATCTTGATAACCGAAAAAGGCGGAAGGAAGAAAGAAAAAAGTTCCTTCGAAGCAGCTTCCTTTGAAACCGGTTAACCAAATACCGCCATTCATATTCCGCACAATTAATGGTGTCCTTTTCTTGTTCGTATTACACATCATAACAAGCTGAGGGGTAGAGCGGAAGAGGGAAAAGCGTTTTCCTTCGAATGGCAGCCAATTTGAGGACAAAGCGGTGACCTCTAGCTTTTCAGCAGAGAGCGAGTCGGCATGAAAGATCCACGCCAGACGTCCCAATTTAATTCGAGCGGCCAATCTCCAAACGCTAATCAAAATCTTCAGATGCTGACGTCCGATACAGGTTTCTCGCCTAATTCTGATTTGTCTGGAATTCAAATTTAATACAAGAGGAGACAAAGGGGGGGCGGGGGGTGTAAAGAATATAAGAGGATGGCTTTTGGTTCAAGGCTGTCTGAGCACAGTGTTGTGGTACCAGGCTCTTTGCTCTGAGAGACGGAAGTACCAGGTTTCAGAAGCTCTGAGTGCCAGGAACACACAGACTCTGCCCTCCACCTGCCCCCCCCCACCCCATTCTCTCCCTTCCTTCCTGCCCTTTTTTCCCCCAAAACGCATTTTCTTTGAAAACACCTCATACGTGTCAAAAAGAAATACTTGACAGAAAAGCAGACAAGGATCCTCTGCACCCCCCCTCACCCCACCCACTCTGAAAAACCAAGAGCACAGCAAAGGGTGAGAAAGGAAACTTGACTGCACCATGTGTTTTCCCCCTGGTGGGAGTCTTCACGTGAAGGCCTGTCTGAGGTCTTTGCAGTAGACAGTCTTGATCTTGGTCTGAACACTAGAAATCTGAATATATAAATATAAGGCCTAGCTGATCCTACCTTAAATTTTTTATATGTAGCATGTAATAATAACAAATCAGCTTATACAATTTAGAACATATATTTAAAGGATTCATTGAAAACACATAATACTGCACATTACAAACAAAATAAATTTAAATAAGGCAAACTACATAACTATATGTAATTATATACAGTATATATCACAATATTTACGTATTATACATATATAACAGGTATATTTGTTAGTGACCCTATAACTTAACAGACACCATTGTAAATCTGTACCATGCATTTTAGCCACACTGCCAGTGTCCTGGTGTCAACATAATGAGTGTAAAGGGGACCTTTTGGAGAAGCAAACAGGTTCCATTTGGACTGTGTAAAAAAATACATTATTATAATTATAATGAATTCACTGCTACTAGGTCTTCAGCCAGCTGTATGCTCATAGTGTATTCAAACTGATTAGTCAAACTAGCGCATTAGCGATAGCATTTAGATATGAATGGGAATGAATGGCGTGCACTGTTAGCATTCACTGCTATGATAGGTCTTGCTGCAAATTCTGTAGGTCAACATGATGATTATAATGAGCTCTGTACTTCTAGGCTTTAGGCCTGCAGTTCACTCCTCGTTACGGCCCATTGTATTATCAAGAAGGAATTAAATTAGCAATTATTACTGTGCGGCTATATTTTTGATTATGCGTAAGTCCAGCACCTTTGTACTCGAAAACCTGCAATTTGCTGCAGCAAAATCTTTTGGAAGAAATGCAGCTTTTGACTTTGCTTTGGCCTGCATTGTTGAGTTATTGGAGACTGACCAGTAGGAATTGCAGTTCTGCGTCAGGTTGGCTAGATCTCATGCTGCCTTTGCTTAACGTAGGAATCTGTGGTGTGTCTATGGAGGCAATGCTGAACACCCGGCGTATTTACAGCATTGACTACAGGGCGACTGCTCAGTGACTCATTCACAGCCTTACGATGCAAGAGGCACATAGATCATCAACATCGACAGCAAAGTAAAGATGAAGAAATGCTCAAAAGGCGGAAATTATGAAGAATATCACTTAGAATGGGAGTGATTCTGGATGGAGTGAGACTGAAGAAGGTAAAGAGATGCGATGATGTTTATTTCCCACAGCACACACACACAGGTGCGCATACACTCACACATACACACATACACTCACACATACACTCACACATACACACATACACACACATACACACATACACTCACACATACACACATATGATTGTATTCATATCTTTGTGGGGATCATTCCATTCATTTCTATGAACAAAACCCTAATCCCTATAATGGCAGCCTTACCCAGCCCTAACCTTAATCATAAATAAGCAAACAAAATATGAGACTTTTGCCATTTTTAGTTTTTTAATGCAGTCCCACATTTTAATAAAATTGAGTTTGCCCTGAAAAAATGGTCTCCATAACAGGTTTTTATAACATTGTGCGGACATCTGGTCCCCAAAATGCAATATTATATACATACTATATATATACTCCCCCACGCGCGCGCACACACACACACACACACACCTTTAACTGGTGCAAAATGTGAATGGAAGGTTACTCCATCCAGGACATATTCAGCAAGTGGAGCTGTCAACACAGATTCCATTTATTTAATTTCTTATTTATTTACCACCCCCCCAAAAAGCTCTCCCACCCCTTCCCATATCCCCCCCCCCCCCACAGAAAACTATACTTCTGTTCCCGCTGACATTCTGGGGTTAGTTAGAGAACAATTTGCAGCCACTTGTGATTTTAGTTATTATCTCTGAGAGCACAGAGGCGAATCACCAAATCGTTGAAGATTAAAGCGGCGGCGAGGTCTGGCTGGTAATCAGCTTCACGTTGCAGTAGCAGCGATCGCACCCAGCCAGGGGATGATAACTCACACCTGGAACGGTGCCCCACACTCAAAATATCACCGTCGCACACTCACATTATTAGCACTAAGGGCTGTTTGTTTTTGTTTCTCTCCACCGTCCTCTTTTCAAATGTAATTCTACTCCACGGAAATGGATTTTCTAGCCTTGTGTTTTTTTGACAGTTACTATTCATTTTAGTATCGTAAAGTTTTAGTTTTACCTTTCTTAATGAACACGGTCCTTTAAACAAGACATGAAAATAAAAATAACATATAAAAATAATAGTTTTATTATAAACAAAAAAAATAAGAAAACAGAATGATGATGATGATGATTATGATTTATTATTATATAACACTGACTCTAACTAGCTAGCTGATCTCTAGTTACTAGTTACTGTCAGTTTTATGATACAGTTCCTTCCAAACCACGTTCCAACTGAATAAAATAATGTATTCAAAAGAAGCAGAGTAATTGCAAACAAGCAATTTGCATACTGTGTGTACCCAGGAAGGGAGGGACCCGGTACCCATTAGTGGAAAAACGATGGCGAACAGGGGAAAAAAAACACACGCACAACAAGACCTCATAAACAGTCCCGGCTAAGACAATGGTAGATTGTGTGCGCAATTACCGAGAGCCGCGTCCTGTATAAATGTGCCAAACCATCAGGAAACGTCAATGGCAGTGCCGCGCAGCTGTCCTCACGGCAAACGGACGACTTCCGCGTCCAACGCAGCGACTGGGCACCCGTCCTCCACTCCTTGAAAGGATCATTGTGCTCCATAATCAACAACATCGCCACACACTCTCCAGCATCACTCCGTCCTACTCGTCTAGTTCTTTATTTTCGTTTACATGTGCCATAATAGGAAGATAATTTCAGACACGGGACAGGAAAGAAAAGGCCCTCCCTGTCCGAAATAAAGCGGGGTTAGATTTGGCCCCAGTGTGACGTGACCCGACACATCCGACAGAATCCGGAGTTCACCTTGTCTGCCAGCAGAGACACTTGACAAGCCGCTGCGGACTGTCGAGGTCTTTGAAGAAGGTTCCCGTTGTCACATTCGGCAAAAACCAATCCATTAACATTCTATTTTGTGCAACAAAACTAGCTGGAGAGTCTCTGACCCTGCCGATATTTACATCAAGGTCAGTAACTAAGAAAATAATACCCACATTCCATTTCAGTGCTGCGTACAATGTGCATTCCCGCCCTGAAGTATCCCTGAGGCAAAATCATATTTCCCCCCTTTCAATACTGAGTGCATTCAATATGTTCTCAATAGGAGCACTTCTGCAGGAAAAGGCTGTGTTTTAAACCAAAATTATTGTTTCAAGCTTGTAAGATGAAAGGCAATTTCATCTTAAGGACAATTATTCGGCGGGGGGATCCACGCTGCCTTAAAAATGACCTGCCGGCGAATCGTGGAGCACAGAACGAGGTAAAGGAGTGACTGTATTATTCTGCGTACACACACACACACACACACACACACACACACATGGACAGAGGCGCTGTATCCTGTCAACAAGTACATGGTGCCTCTGGAGTGGACGACAAAGGCGGCCATCTTGCCAACATGTCCCCTTGGAAGCTCTGGGCATCTGTGGGCCAGACACAAAGCCCAATTAAAAAACATGGTGGGTCCAGCACAGCTTTACTGGGTGTGAATGATGCTGCATAAAGATGTCCTTGCAACTGCCTGTCCCACCCACTGCCATGTCTCTCCCTTAACACCCCCCTCCCTTAAAACCCACCACCCCCCCAAGACACTGAGATGGCTGCCTCTTTTATTGCCTGGCCTGGCCTGCTCACAGGCAGGTCAGCCCTAATCCTCGGGGAGTTTTCTCATTGTGTTTTAGGGATCAAGGGTCAAACCATTTCTAAAGGAGAGGTTTAGTTAAACATCTATTAGCAAGACCCATTGTGCCGGGTTGATTTATGGGGGGAGGGGGGGGGGGTGTTCAGTTCAGCTGTCAAGTTACCAAAAAAAAAATGAATATAAAACAGGATAGAAATAAACATTTCTTGTGAGACACCTGAACAAGGTTGTCTGTGAAGGTAGATGTAGACGATGGTATGGACTGATGTCTTGAGATTGGTCCAAACCCTCAGACCACTAACTGCTGGACTAACTGACACAGATCTGCAGGGTTGTTGTCAGAAGGCACCTTATTCGCTGGGAAGGAAAAAAAAGAAAGAATTAAACTTTAATAATAAATCCTTGGTAAGAAACAGAAAAAACACACCGATAAGTTCGGCTTTGGAGCTTTATGTTCAAAGGGATATTACATGTACATTATGTCCAGTAACACAAGAGCCAGGCGAAAAAATTATTATTTTTTAATTATTATGCTTGTCACCATTAATAACTTCTATCAGTGTCCCTGACTCATGGATCATTTGTGCAAATGATCTGAGAGGGACAGAAAAAAAGCTGGAAGTATTCTGGGGGTGTCCGCCATTCTTCGACAGATGCATTCTGGGGCCCTGATGGTGTGAACCAGGTTGGAACTGTTGACTTAAGCGACTCAACAGATTGTCCCACGAGTGCCGTGGGGTCAGCTGACCCAGGGGGAGGAGGGCCACCGTCGGCTTTGTCCTCCCAGATCCGCGAGGCGCCCAGTGACCAGGGGGCAAATGCTGGGGTTGCCGTCCGCAGAGCAAGCGCGATATGGAATATCATGGGCTGCCCGCGATCATGCAGAATGGGCCATTCCAAGGAAAACGCCCCCCCCCTCCCCCCGCCTGTAGTTTAACCCAGATTTTTACAGTTGAAATCAAGGGCCTCTGCTGAGCCTTAGGTGGCTAAAGTCTCCCTGTTCCTCAGAAACTAGGCTGTCGATAGCTTGTTAAATGTTTACTTAGTTCCGACACTGAACCACGCTTTGGCTTGGCTCCCCGCTTTGCTCCAGCGCGGCTGCTGCACTGTCCTCGCCGGCTGGGAGGCAAATAATTATTCTGACGCTGCTCCCCTAATTACTCTGACACCGACTTCCCTGCTTAAGCTACTCTGGCTGCTACTGCAGTTAAAGTTTCAAATGCTAACGATAATGACCAGTTTCTAATTGGTGCTTATACCTTAAATCGTTGTGCGTGGAATATAATTACGGCTATTATGCTTTTAAATAATCCTCGAAATTAGCATTTACCTCTATTGCATGTTGTCAGCAGTAAATTGTGGTTTGGGAATCTGAGGGGAGCAAAGGGCCGGTTCAGAGTTAGTTGACTTATTATTTGACGGCCGCGCCTGGACCAGCGGTTCGAGGGTTTGGCTCTAATGCCTTGAGAGTGGGACTGGGAGTCCCATGCTTTTAAAGAAATGGTGGAGGGGGGGGGGGGGCAAGGGCGGGGGCTGAACCACGAAGAAACAGAGGAGAGAGGCAAATGTTGGCGGGTCAAACAGTATTATTTCCGCCACTCCCCCCGGCTATCATTGGGCATTGCTTGGTCTGACCTGTGCTGCGGGTGGCAGGCTCCCGGGCAGAGGGCACCTCCCCCCCCCCCCCCGGGGCAATGGCATGATGGGGACGGGAAGAGATGAGCCTTCTGTACCCATGTCACGCTCATGTGGCTGCCACACTCCTCGTCGTGCCTGTTTGAACTGTCCCTCCCAATTAGCACTAATAAGTGACTCTGTAAGGATGAGCAAACATACTGCATTCAGCCCCCCCCCCCCCTCGCCTCTGCTTAGCGGCCCATGAAAATCCCAAGAGCGCAACCCCGCTAATAGACAGAGAAAGCCAAACGCGTCTCGTTGCGAGCAAACAAGCGCTCGCCAAGAGGCAAATTAATGACAAGTCATTTGAAGGGTTCGCCTGAAAATGATTTTATCCTGGTCTCTCTGCCCACAGATTGATTGGGCCCCCCCCCCTCACACGATCAAAGTGGCCCAATCAATGAAAAGCAAGTGATGAGTGGGGACGCCATGCTCCTGGCTGATTTACTTGCCGCTGTTTTACGTGGGGGTGGGGGTGGGGGTGTGATATAATCTACCAGGTGTAAATGACTGAGTCCCAGCTCAGTGAAGCAGCCGCTGACATGCACGAGGTCACTGGTGCACATGCATCGACCGACACCGCTGGCGAGGATTCCCACGTCCCCCCCCATCCCCCCCGGGGTCATGTCCTGTGTGTCTCCCCAGACAGAGTCCTTTCTCCATCAGTCTACCTCGTTTATGGTCTCGGGGGAGCAAACAAATCCTAACCCCTCGCAGCAATTCATTCGGTCACGTGAAACACCACATAGGATGGTCATTCTGCGACGCCATTTAAACAAGAGAAAAATCATACACATGCGGAAGAAAATATTACATATAATTATCACAAAAAGCATGTGGGCAAAATGAAAAAACGCATATATGTGTATGTGATGTATATATGTGTGTGTGATGTATATATGTGTGTGTGGTGAATATATATGTGTGTATGATGTATATATGTGTGTAATCTATGATAAGTGTGTGAAAATCTAAAAGTGGATGCACATTTAAGCAGGAGTGGTAGTCCAATAAAAATCAAATATTATTCACACAGATTTTTATATACGGGATATAAGTCATCTTTTCAAGGCCTGTAAGAGATTAAGACCGTGGGGCCTGTTTGAATTAGGGCCTATGAACGTAGTGCAGTCCTGCCATATTTTTGTTTTTTTTTTCCCCCTTATCACGTCTGTTGTGCAAAATGCAGAGGGGATTAAAGGCAGATTTTTTATTATTTTAAATGTGGCACAGAAGATTAGCCCCCTTGCCAAACACTTAATTGATTTCCTTTTTGACTGTTTACCTCTACAGCAGACTCCTAGAATACAGCGACAACGCCGACCTCGCCATCGCCAAGCGCTCCCTGCCAAGTGCCTCATTTGTATTCAGAGCAGTGGCATTTGCCAGCCTGAGCGTTGCCTTGGCGACGCTGCCCACACAAGTCATGATAAATGGCACTGTCTGCCTCTGCTCCTCGACAAAAAAAAAAAA